TTGTACAGCCTTTCACTATATTGATGTGTTGTCAATGATAATGTCCAATGTGCATCCTTTTTTGTACATAACAATGATGACATGTTCTGTGCACTGCGTCAGTGTTACAAAGTTTGTCATTCATATTACCATTATGAACGGACTTCATAGTGTACAAAGTCTTTGTTTACTAAACAAATGGAATTTAAAGTCCATAATTTGCCTTGCTGCTTATCTGTTTTTGTCATCACTGTTACATACAAGAAATACAGTAGTTGCAAACCAATAGACCCATATCTCCAAAACCCTACATCTCCTTGCTCTGATACTCTAGGAATATGAGCACTAAATGTCAATCTGTTACTGACAGAAAAGAGAGTCAAATTGGTAAGAAATTTTTTTTTGCACCACTGAGTCTCAAGAGAGTCTCACGTTTTGGCAATTGCCCATATATGAAGACAAATATACAAGACGACTGGTCTTGAAAAGAAGAAACAAAAAACAAGATCTACCCAAGAATTATGGAGTCGTGATTTTAATACAGTGGAGTCCACTTATAACGAGTCCTGAAACAACCAGAAGTCTGTTATAAAGACACTATTCTAAAACCCTGTTTTTTTCCCCTTCTTTATCTTTGTAAATAAAATACTGTTATAGCGCAATCAGAGAGTAATGCGAGTCGGTTATAACGGAATACTGCTGCTGCTGTGCTCAGCACACAGACCAATTAAACAGATAAAACCTCGCCAGTTGAGAAAATTGTTGGTGATCCAGCGAAACAAAGAATGGGAGAGCCCACGCGAACCAACAATAAAGGCCGGAGCAAATGAGTGGAGAGGGTGTGGCATGCGCAGACAAGCAGAACGCATCACGTGATAGGCCAGCGCAGTCTAGATTATCTAGGCATACAGTGCCTCTCACTTCTCTGGTGCGGGATGGAGAGGTCACAATGCTGTAATAGATGGAGCGAATGTGTGATGCGCGCAAGCAGATGCAAAGCACCACAGGGTGTGGTGGGGTGGGGGACAACACAGCGGGCCAGTTAGCCTAGAGCCAGAGCCCCTTCTTTCTGATCCCCAATGCAGAACTGTCAACATTGCTAGTGCTAGAGAAAGAAACCTGATTTGATTTTTGATCAAGTAAGACCAAGAGATCATGTTGAACAAAATCATCATAAGGGTAAATACAAAAAGGAAAACAGAACACTAAACTCATAGATTAGGCCTACTTTACTACAGTGGAACTCGGATTCAACGAGGTCGCCGGGCCTGACCTAAAATCTCGTTGAATCTGAGTGTTCGTTATAGCAAACATGAGGTTTTGTGTAGATAACTACAGGCACTGAGCAGGTAATCATGTATAAAGAGAAGTCACAAGTAGTGCCTGAAATGCCTGCATATTATGATCTGTGTGAGAAAAAAAAGACTGATTCGTTCAAATGCACTCCTGTGTCATCTCGATTATTTACCACAAAGTTGTGTTGTTGTGTAGAGCCTAGCATAAGGGCAAGTTTTAATTTCATAGACAAGCGCACAATTCATTACGAAGATCTACGTCAAGAAAGACTAGCTTATCATTGTGTAATAATGATCAATTGCCTAGCGGAAAAGAGACTGACGCGTTTGTATCTGCGATGTTCAACACCCGAACCGCTAGTGCGCCCCCCCCCCCCCCCAATCCCCGACAAACACACACAGCCACACGTGTGCAGGTGGCCCATCCGACCCCGACACACACCAAAGTAAACTTGTGCACATGCCAACAACGCATGTGTTAGTATGAAAAAGGCCGCTGATTGGTCGCATGCAATCGGCTAAGTGAATAATGGTTTGCGATGCAGTTGCAATGGACGTTTTCAGGAATAGATAAAGTGCGTTCTTGGAGAAAAATGAGTGAAGCCAAGTCTGCGGGGGCTGTTCACCCTGGAAGCGACCTCGTTGATTTAAGTGCTCGTTGAATCCGGGTTATTTTTACGAAGTGACTATTTCTCCGAACGTTCGGAGAAATAGTGCCGATCTTTAAAGTATTTCTCCGAACGGTTTCCGGCTTCCGGTCTCGTGATTTTTTGCCTATTTATTGCGAGAGTTCGGCGCCAACTTTCATTCTGCCTCTGATCTGGGAAGGAACACCGCATGGCAAGCCCGCCTACAGACAACCTTCAGTAACACCCACCACACACACACCACCATCATGCACATGTACACACACTAACTAAACATGACTAGTGGGCAACTTTTGAACGTATGACGAACTGAGCTATAGATGGAGAGAAAGTGTGAGTGAAAGAGCGGGTGAAAGGAAGAATGTGCGAGAGTATCCACAGGCGACAGCAACTACAAGACGACGACACCGACCCCCCTGGCCTGGTCCACAGCTCACGAAAGAAAGGAATGCAGCTCAGGCAGTGTTTTGCCTATATTATTGTCCATGGTTCGCAGGGCGCAAGGGAATGAGTGAGATTTTCTTTGTGTGTGCCTGGAGGGAGGGGGTGGGGTATGAAAGTCATTAGCAATGCCAATCGGGCTTTCCCGCGCGGCGAAAATTTGGTCCCCGTTTACGGGCGATTTTGCGGACCGGTC